ACTCCGGACTAGGTGCGTTCCTCTAAGTCTTCCTACCAATATGATCAAGTTGCGAAAACAGGGTCAAACAGCCTTTAGATAACTATTCTGCCTGTAACAGTAATAGCATCAAATTCCTGAGAAAATCAGTAAGTTGTGAGAATTGGAAAAAGGATGATCGCATTATCTGCAAGCAAATAAGTAATTTATATCGATTGAAAGGAAAATGAATGAATGATGAAAGCTTCCATTAGACAATTCAAGATGCTCTGAATGCTGTGTGTATGAAGAGAATATCGATGATAAAATATGCCAGAGTATGTGCGAGGTGCAAAGCATGCATGAAGATCTTATTCAGCTGATAAGAGTTAAAAAGGAGTAATTTTTCACAATTTTTAAAGTTTGTAATCATAACAAAATTGTAACATCACACCAAAAAGTGTGGCCTCTAGTTTTGTCGCAATCTTCTTCAGCTGAATTATAAATGGCCTAACCTCGTTTTCACATCTTTTCATGTAATCAGGGCGACCCAGATGAACACACTAAGTCCAAAGTAGACTTGGTATATCCCCAGACAATCGCCAGCATCGTCGTTGAGCCTTGCAACTCTTAGCACCGGGTCATAAAATATTTTTGAAGAGCTGTAGCTTGGTGATAAGAATGGCAAGACGAGCTAATGCCTAATACTAGACCAATGAAACGTTTCGAAATATATCAAGACCATGGTCATAAGCTGGAAATTATCGAGGCTAATATAGCTGAGGAGTTCGGAAAAGGTCTTGACAACAGAACCATGTTGCGAAAATGAGATCAAGCCACTTCCATAAATTGAATTTCGCCTTTCCTGATAAAATTCCCGAACAAAGGCAATTTGAAAAGGAATAGTGTCATATCCTATTTAGTCATGCGTAAGTTATATGAAAAAGTAATCTCAGCCAAATAATACAATTAGATAAAATCGACTTCCAATCCTGAGCCTACCTGGTTTACAGTCATAGCAAGACAAGCTGTCTTTACGAGTGCATTCATCTTTACAACAGGGCTAGCGATCATTCCATCAGTAGCGTCATGAGCCTTTACGAGTCGGTTAAGCAAATCAGCAGCTTCTTCAGCTTGTCCGCGGAGTGCCAGGTAGGTGGCCTGCAAAAGAGTGCACTTTGCCGCAGCACGCAAAGCTGGTAACAACCAATCAGGATTGGTAGCCGTGGCATCGACCATATCTTGTTTCGCCTAAGATGACCGATTCAGATTTGTATGTTGTCAGGATAACATAATGGATGTGGATTCAATGAGTAGATGAAGTAGCATTTGACACGAGGGTATAGGAATGGTAAGAATAAAACCAGATAAATGTCAGGGAAGATCAGTTAGACATAACCGAAGAGCGATAAGTGGAGAAAAAAGGAGACAAATTTTTTTTAATGTTAACGCTGAATGAAAATGTGGAGTAGAAAATTATAAAGAATAACATAGCGAAAAGAGGACAAGAG